TAATTATTATTTTAATTTTATTATTATAAAATTATTTATAATTCTTATTGCATTTTTTGTTAAATTTAAAAATAAAATATACATAGACTATTTTTTATATAAGCCAATAATATAAGAAATTTTTATATAGTAAATTAAAAATGTATTATTAATAAAACTTTTTTATTTTATAATTAATTTTTATAAAAATTTAATAATATATAAAATAAAATAAGTTATTTATTATGTTAAAATTTTATAAATTGTTTTATTTAAAAAAATTCTATTTGTATATATTTTAAATTTTTTAAAATACTCTATATTTTTTCTAGAAGTTATACAAAATAATCAAGTTTAATTAGCTAATTTCTGAAAACTTATAAGAGAATATTAATAGTAAAGTTTTATATCTAATCTTTAAAAATTTATATATTAAACTAATTTTAATAATTTTACTATTATTAAAATTACAAGAACCTATTTTATAACTTTATATAGAAGTTTAAAAAATATTTAATTAGTAAAAATTTGTATAATTTAAATTATAAAAACATATACCATCAAGTTTATATATAATTTTAAAATATTATATTCTATTGTTAGACCTAATAACATGATATAAATATGATTAAAAAACTTTTTTTGATAATTATTCGAACCAAACTTTTCAAAAAGCTGAACTATAGAAAAATAATATAGTTAATATATTATACTTTATAAAAACTTTTTTAGAGTACTGTACACATATAGTTGAATATTAAAATAGAGTTAAATAAGAGTTGCAACTTTGTAATAATAGTTTAAAAAGCACTCTGAGACTATAGAAGAAGTAGTTAGTAAAAACTATGATTTTTTATAAAGTAAACAACAAGTTGAATATATTAGTTCTATATAAGTACAAAACCTACAAAGAACATTTACAAAGATTAAGAACTTATAAAAACTAAAAAGTTGGTTTACCTAATACTTTCACTTTTTTTCAAGAAAATTTTGTAAAAATAGGCAATTCAGTTTACTCTTTCCTAAAGATTAACATATAAAATTACAAAAACAACCAGTAGTATTTACTTTCTAAATAAGATTGTTAATGTTATAGATTAAAAATAATATAATAATATAAACACAACTATATACATGCCTTAAGCTGCTAGAAATTTATTAAATATTGCCCTTAGACTAACTAGTAATCTATACTAATCTTCTATAATAAAGTTGAAATTTTTTCTTCTTTTTAGTTTTTTGTTAAATAATCTAAATAAATAGAAAAATAGTAGAATAATTTCTATTTAGTATAGTTTATAATTTTTAAAAGCCTAATACAGACTCATAATTGTAATTGTCTGATATCTATAAATTGCAAATTTTACATCTGACATAGGCTTAAATCATGAATATTTAATTTTTTGTAAATTGCAGATTTTACACTTTTCTTTTTTTTGTTTATCTTCTTTCTTTCTTTTATTTTTTGCTTTGTATCTTTTATTTTTTACCTCTATATCTTTGTTTTATTTTTTATATATAAAATTTTTTTTTTTGTTTTTTTATTTTCCTATAAGAAGATATCATAGATTAATGATATTCTATTATAAAACAGCAGTTAGATGAATGGTCTACCTTTGTTTGGAATAGTATAGCAGAGCAGGTTGCACTTAGATACCAATAAGATGGCTAGATATATTGAATTAATAACTGGTACTAAACCTTCATATTGATCAATTTATAATTTATTCTATAGTAAAACTAATGAGCTTAAAAGTCAACTTGAAGATTTATTATGAAAGAGTTATATCTGTTCAAATACTTCTTTTTTGATACTTTGTACTTTTTGTTTACAAAAAGAATAAAACTTTAAGGTTATGTATTAATTACAGAGCTTTAAACAAAATTACTATTAAAAATTATTATTATTTACCATATATTGAAGATCTTATAGATAGACTTGTAAAAGCAAAATATTTTTTTAAAATTGATCTTTATTCTGATTATTATTAAATTCAAATTAAAGAAGAGAATATTTTTAAAATTACTTTTTATACTCACTAAGAACACTATGAATTCTTAGTCTTACCTTTTGACTTAACTAATACATCTACTTACTTTATAACTCTTATAAATAATATCTTTAAAAAAATTTTAAATTAATTTGTTATTATATATTTGGATAATATTCTTGTTTATAGTAAAACTAAACATAAACACTTTAAACATATAAAGCAAGTTTTGAATACTTTAAAAAAACATTATCTGTTTGCTAAAATTAGCAAATATAAATTGTTTAAACAAAAAGTTAAATATTTGAAATATTACATTTCTGCTAAAAAAATTCTGTTGATATTTATAAAATTGATACTATAAAAAATTAGCCTACTCCTTTTAATATCTCTAAACTTTGATCTTTTTTTGAACTTGTAAATTATTATTAAAAATTTGTTAAAAGATTTTCTGCTATTGCTGCACCTCTTACTAAACTTCTACACAAGGACCAAGATTATTTATAAAATAAGAAACAATAAAAAGCTTTTGAAAGACTTAAATTACATTTTATTTTTAACCTATTTTATTTCTTTCTAATTTAACCAAACCTTTTATAGTAACAACAAATGCATATAATTTTGTTATTAGAGCTGTTTTTAGTTAAAACCAAGAAAAAGATAAACAATCTATTGCTTATGAATCTTATAAACTTTCTTCTACTAAACAAAAATATGCTGTTTATAAAAAAAAATTATTAGTAATTGTTCATATTATTAAACTTTGGTATATTTATCTTGAAAGACAAAAGTTTACTATAATTATTAATTATGTTTTATTGAAATATATCAAATCTCAAAACAACCTTTTATGAAGACAAGCTCACTGGCTCAAAATTCTACAATTCTGCATCTTTGATATCAAATATAAGCTTGAAAAAACATGTTATAATTAATATATTATTCTAACAACCTTATCTGATTAATCTTTTTGTTATTTTTTCTTATCTTACAAACTTTAAGAAAAAATATCTTGAGAACAAATACTTTGCTTCTATTTACAAAACTTTAAAGAATTCTAATTTAAATAACAAAAAACAATAAGCTTGTGCTTAACATTATAAATTAAGGAACAATAGGCTTTATTTAAAAGAAAACTAATATCTAGCTATTTTGTAAATAAAAAATTAAAAATTAAATTATTGAAGTAATATTATAATATTAAAATAACAAAACATCTTTAAATTAATAAAACTTATAAAGCAATTTGACATGATTATTTTTAGCTAAAAATAAGTAAAGATGTCAAAATATTTGTTTTAACTTGTAACTTCTGTTAATGTAATAAAAGTAATAACTAATAACCAGCTGAGTTACTTAAAATATTAACAATTGTAACAACAAAATAAAAACAAATTACTATAGATTTTATTGTTTATTTACCTTCTATATAACTGAAATATATAATTATTGCATCAATATTATAGAAGCTTTGTCATATTATTCATATAACAAAATTATATGTAATATATAGATAATTTTATCTTTATAAATGTTAATACATTCAATAATAAAATTTTTAGTTGATATTTGCACATGTTTAGTGTATTTAGTTTGTGTAAAAACTTATAAAAAAGACTGTTTTTGTCAACTAATAAATCTGATAGGCAATATAAAAAAACTTCAGATATAAAATAAATTTTTATAATAAACATATTACACAAGTAGGTATTGATATTAAAAAGGTAGATATGGTCAAAAATTTATTAACTGGTTAAAAGATAATTTTATTAACATTGATCAAAAATGTGTTGCAGAGGTTTTCCAATACTATAATGTGTTGACTAAAAGATCTTGCAAAATACCTAAGTATAATAATGATAGCAAAATATCCAGATATAATAATGATGTAAAATTATGAAATATTAGTAAATTACAAAAATTTGACCTAGTAATAGTAAAAAATACCCCTAGGTATTCTATAAGATTTTTTTAGATATTTTTATATTAGGCTCTAGGTCTTTAGTCAGTGTACTACAGTATATTAATATCTTTAAAAGTGGCTAACATCTAAGTATTTTGCACTTTTTTGAAATAATAAACTTTCTAATTTTTTTTAATTATTTGCTAGCAAAAGTACTTTGAAAATATCATGTTTCTATATTTAACTATGTAGAGATATTTGTATTAGTATAATATTTATATTAGCTATCTAGTATATATGTACATATCAATTTATAAATTTATTATGCTGAAATCATAAATTTAACTGAATTTACTAAAAAATCATTTGGCCAATTTTAACAAATATTCTAAAAATTATAATAATAGTTGTAAAATATAAAAATTTTTTTTACAAGCTTTCAAAAGTTGACACAACTGAGTTATGAAAACTAATTAATTAAGTTTGTATAACCTAATTATAAAATTATTTTAAAATTTAAAAATTTTATTTATATTTATATTTATTAGATTTAATATTATTAATAAGCTATTTAATTTATTTTATAAAATATGATGTATCAAAAGTGATAATATGACCTATATATAAAATGATAGATGATATATAATATAAAAAGTTAAACAAGTATAACAATATGTATTAATAAAAACCTAAAAACAGAACCTTACCTTTAAAAAAAATCTGACTTACTAGCATAAGCTAAAATTTGAAACTTTAATAAAAGAAATACAAGTCTTTTGTTTAAAAAACTTATTAATTATAAAAACAATAACTTTCAAAAATAAAATTTTTCTCAACTCATCAAAACTATATAATCTTTCTGATTTGAATTTATTAGAAAAAAATGCACTCTTATTATATTATTTTGTAATGAAAGTTTTTGTCATTGTCCTTTATGCTATTGATTGTGAACAATTTTTTGCATCACTTGATTTCATAAATCAAAAAGTCAAAATAAAATAATATCAGATAATCTTTCTATTCTTGGACAGCTCAAAAATAAGCTCAAAAAAAAAATATCTGCCAAAACCTTGCTTTTTGAATTCTTAATTGATGATGATAGATATCTTTTTGGCAAAGAAAATGAAATGTTAAAGGACTTAGATGAGAAGTTGGATGAAATAATATTAGAATACAAAACATCTTTTATAAAAAAAAATTTTGATTTTATGTCTGAAAGTGATAAAGAGGCCTTAGAAGATTTGCTTCAAGCTGGGGCGGATCAAGATCAACTTCCAGAAATGAATTGGACCGTTGATGACATTTTTTTTGAAAACCAATAAATTTATAAATTAATTATGTATAAATATATTTTAGTTATTTTTTTTTTATTACATACGTATTAATAAAAAATTTTTTTCGTACATATGGTATGTGCGCATTATGATAAGAAAAATTTCACGTGATTATCTGTAGGGCATGCCCCAGGCAAAATAAGAAGGGCATGCTCCAGACTGAGGCATGCATGCCCAAATATTTTCCCATGCCCACAACCCTTCGGGCCTCTATCTGTAATTATTTTCATTTTGGGCCATTATTTGCCCTTTAATGTATATGCATGCTCCCGACAAATCAAGAAAAAACTTGACACTTAAATACTTGATCAAGTCAGACCTGGTTAAGTCAGACTTGATTATCGTCTCTTAGTAATAATATGAGCTCGAAATTCGAAGAAAACATTACTTTGCCTAACGGTAAAACCGTTAAAGGTACGTAATCTTTATACATATACTTTTGATACATTATAATACATTTTAATCTAATCTCGATTATTATTATTATTATTATTATATAGTTTATACTGGTCTGTTTATTAATAACGAATTTGTTGACTCGGTTGATGGCAAACGTTTTGAGACCATCAATCCTACAACAGGCCAAGTTAT